GAGGGGAGGGGAGGGGAGGCGTGTCATGAGTCGTGCATCTTCGTCGCATCTTGCCATGGCCCCACTATATTATTGGGATGGGATTCGGTGGTTTGGGGGGGGGGCATATCAGGGAGGGGAGGGGAGAGGCGAACTGGTAACGCCGGTGCCGAAAAGTTCGTTGGTGACGTCGCCATTGCGATCAATGTCCCACCAGACCGTTCCGCTCACGTCCGCAGCTGGCCAGGTCGCGTAGAGGAAAGGAAATCGGTCAACCGAGAGACAGAGAGAGGGAGAGAGGAGGCGTGAGCCGAAAGACAGATTATTATTCATTATATTATTGGGAGGAGGGGGGGCCGGGAAGGTAAGATTGGAAGAAGAGAGAGTACAGAGAGATAAAAAGAAAGATGATTGGGAGGGAGGGGGGGATGCGATACCGTTGACCGTGGCGCTGCCGCACGCGAGGAGGACAATGAACAGCAGAAGCAGGGGAGTAGGTCGATGAGCTCGAGCCATGGCGTGGGGTGCCACCACTTTCTTCTTCTTCTTCTTCTTCTTACCACCCTTCTTCCAAATGGAAAGAGAAGAGGAGGAGGGGAAAGAAAGAGAGGGGGGGGGTTTGAGGGTTACATACACCCAGGAAGAGGCGCCGTTCGGCGGAGTTTACCATGTATGGCATTGCCTTTTATGGTAAGCTGGTTTTCTGACTGCTTACGTGGCCAATTAAGTAAAAGGAACAGGGCAAGGGGCGGGGAAAAGCGAGGAATAAAGTGAGCGTGCAGTACCGCGTGATGGTCCTCATCAACACTTGCGGTGCCGCTGGTGCCGCTGGTGCTGAGAACTGAGAAACGGGCGGAGGGCGGGGCACAGATGGAGGATCTGCTCGGGCGAGAGCGGTTTAGCTGCTGCGGACGACGACCCGACGTAGCCGCCGCCGCCAATGTAGTCGCGAAGCCGGCGGTCCTTGGCGAACACGAGCTGCGAGTCGAATTGGGAGGGAGCCGTTTGGTCGAAGAACACGGCCATGTCGCACACCGTCTCTAGCGCCATGGTCGAAACCTGGAACTGCACCATCCGCTCCAAGCGAGCCTGAACTTCATCCTCTTCGAATTCGGCGTAACATGCGTCCACACACGGATAGAAATGTATTATGAAATATTATGAAATATGTTCGTATTTGTCTTCATAATTATAAAAAAGAGAGGTAGAAATACCGTAGGAGCGGCGCAGGGCTTCCATCGGGGCAGCGTCGAGTTGGTGGGTGCGGGCCTTGAGGTGCTGCAGATCGCCCACGAGCTTGCCGAAGGTCCACGCGCTCTCGAACGCTGCATTTATCCCCACCCCCAACCTGCGGAGGGTTACCCACGCGAGAGAGTGAGAGTCGTGTGTCGCGTGTCGCGTGTCGTGTCGCGTGTCGTGTGTCATGTGTCATGTGTCATGTCGTGTCGTGTGTGTCGTGTGTGTCGGATGTCGTGTCTCGTGTCTCGTGTGTCTCGTGTGTTTCTGTGTGTGTATGCGTGTTGTGTGTGTCGTATGTGTGTCGTATGTGTGGTTTGTGTGTCGTGTCAAACGAGAAAAAAAGAGGGAGGGAGGTAACCGGTAGTGGGCGGATACGGCGGCGTCGCCGATGAGGACGACGAGAGCATTAGACGTAGAGGGATGCGCAGCCAGGGCCGTAACGTCGGCCTTGCGCACGATGATGGGGAACAGCGAGATATCGTACTGCGCGGTGGTCACACTCGCGTCTTCTTCCCTCGGCGGCTGCGGCTGCTGCTCCACGAGTGGTACGGGCGTGGGGCTGGCCTGGCGCCCCGTGGGGCGCAGGAGCAGTGCGCGCTGGAGGGAGGCGGGGGAGCGATGCTTGCGGAGGAGAACTGTTGACGATCTCGAGGAGCTTGGGCCAGGGCCACCCACGCTCCTCTCCCTCGCCCACCCGCAGCACCGCCGCCGCATCGTCCCTCTCCTGGGATCCCCGCGCGCGCCACAGCCGGAAGACGTCCTCCTCCTCCTCCTGCTTGCCATCGGTGGTGCCAGCAGCCGAATTCGCCGTCATCGTCGTCGCCGCCGCCGCCGCGCTCACGCCACCGCCGCGCTCCTCCCGGTAGCGCTGCACGATGCGCAGGCCCTCCTCGCGGCTGAACAGGACCTGCATGTGGCAGTGCCCCTGGTAGAATCTGCCCTCACCCCCGCCCCGCCCCCCCCCGCCCCCCGAAAGTCCGCACCTCCCCATCAGCCAACTCCTCCAGGCATTACTATTATTAATATTATTATAATTGGGAGGAGGGGGACCAACGCACGCACACACGCACGCACGCACGCGCACCGTTTGAAGACGGACGTGACGCCGTCTATGGCCAGCCCGGCAAAGTCCTGGCCCACCCTCTCATTGACCCGTGGACACTCTGGGCTCGGTTCCGCTGGCACGCCCCCCTCCGCACTGGCCACCACCACCCCGCGGATCAATCCAGTCAGTGTGCGGTGGCGGCGGGCGGGCGGGCGGGCGGGC